GGATCTCCAGTCTCTTCTTAAAGGCCTCCAGGGATGGACCAACCCACAACTCCCTCTGACTGATTGATTGTTTGATTGATTGATTGATTGATTGATTAATCAATTAACAGAATAATAGTTGGAAGGGACCTGGGAGGTAGTAATAATGTAGTAGTAGTAGTAGTTGTAGTAGTAGTAGTAGTTGTAGTAGAAGAAGAAGAAGAGGAGGAGGAGGAGGAGGATTTGGAAGGTACCTTGGAGGTCATCTAGTCCAACCCCCTGCTCAGGCAAGAGATCCTATTATTATTTCAGACAACTGGATTTCCAGTCTCTTCTCGAAAGCCTCTCCAGTGATGGAGCATCCCCAACTTGGAATACGGCATCCAGTTTTGGTCACCACGATGTAAAAAAGAGACTCTAGAAAGAGTGCAGAGAAGAGCAACAAAGAGGATCAGGGGACTGGAGGCTAAAACATATAAGGAACGGTTGCTGGAATTGGGGATGTCTAGTTTAACGAAGAGAAGGACGAGGGGGGACATGATAGCAATCTTCCAGTATCTCAGGGGCTGCCCCAAAGAAGAGGGAGTCAAGCTATTTTCCAAGGCGCCTGAAGGCAGGACAAGAAGCAACGGATGGAAACTAATCAAGGAGAGAAGCAACCTGGAACTAAGGAGAAACTTCCTGACAGTCAGAACAATTAACCAGTGGAACTCCTTGCCTCCAGAAGCAGTGAATGCTCCAACACTGGAAGTTTTTAAGAAGAGACTGGACAGCCATTTGTCCGAAATGGTATAGGGTTTCCTGCCTGAGCAGGGGGTTGGACTAGAAGACCTCCAAGGTCCCTTCCAACATTATCATCATCATCATCATCATCATCATTATTATTATTATTATTATTATATACTTCTGTTGGCAAGTCGTTCCACTGATCCATTGTTCCAGTTGTCAGGAAATTCCTCCTTAGTTCTGGGTTCCTTCTATCCTTGATGAGTTTCCATCCATCCGTTGCCACCCATTCCATCAGAGTGGGGGGGGGGGTGCCGCAGACAGACAAGATGCCTGGAAAGAGAAATCAAAGCAGGATCTGTCTCAAGTAGTCTCTGGAGGAAAGGTGGCCTGGGGTGCTCCCACCAAGGGGTCAGATCCTATCGGGACTTTCTGCCCCCCAATACTGCCCCCCTCCTAGGTGTAGGACCCCAAGAAGGGGCGGGCCATCTGCCTGGACGAGAGGTAGGCAACCTTGTCTCTTTTATGACTGGTGGACTTCAACTCCCAGAATTCCTGAGCCAGCCTGGCATAGCTTGGAAACCTCTCCCTTCCCCTCAGCATGGCTGGCTCAGGAATTCTGGGAGTTGAAGTCCAAGAGTCATAAAAGAGCCAAGGTTGCCTACCTCTGGCCTAGGCCTAGGCCGCTTTATGACTCGTGGACTTCAACTCCCAGAATTCCTGAGCCAGAATGGCTCAGCCTGGAAACCTCTCCTTTTCCCCTCAGCATGGCTGGCTCAGGAATTCTGGGAGTTGAAGTCCACCAGTCATAAAAGGGCCAAGTTTGAAGACCCCTGTCCTAAGTCCTCCTGTTCTAAGCGGTGAGCCTCCTAGACCAGGGGTAGGCAACCTTGGCCCCTTCGTGACTCGTGGACTTCAACTCCCAGAATTCCTGAGCCAGCATGGGGGAACTATGGCCCCCTTGATGACTCGTGGACTTCAGCTCCCAGAATTCCTGAGACATCCTGGCTCAGCTTGGAAACCTCTCCCTTTCCCCTCAGCATGACTGGCTCAGGAATTCTGGGAGTTGAAGTCCACCAGTCATAAAAGAGCCAACGCTGCCTATCCCTGGCCTGGACCCTGCTGGAAAAGGCTAATCTCCCCCGCCTATCGGAGCGCGCAAACAAACAAACAAAGCCAAGCTTCCTGCCCTCAATAACGCCAACTTTCTCCCCCCCCCACCCCTCCACAGACACACAAAGCCCCGTCTTTTCTCTCGGCGAGGGGCTTCTGTTGCTCTCTGGTAACCGCCTTGTGTGTTTGGTGTCCCACCCTTATTTATCGCTGCTCAGACTGTCTTTGGAAGTCATGACCATCCTATGTCGCTGTGAGAATATTGAGACGTCGGAGGGGGTGCCACTGTACGTAACGGGGGTCGCTCAGGTAATAACCGTCCCGCTTTCACACGTCTGCCTAACCCTTCTCCGTCTTGCCTCCTCCTCCTGTCCTACGCAGCACAGCAGCACCAGCAGCAGCAGCAAAGCAGACCGGGACCCCCTCCTGGCACCCACTCCTCTTTTTCTCTCTCTCTCTCTCTCTCTCTTTCTCCTTGGCTCCCCCCCCCCTTCTCCCTCTGGCTCTGGCTACCTGCTCGTGCCCTCCATGGTAATCCAGAGAGGCGCATGGGGAACGCTCCCTGGCACTCGCTCACCCTGGACGGCGCTTTGCAAACTTCACACAGCACCACCCGGCCGAGGGGGTCAAGGAACCGTCTGGGGGGGGCAGCTGAGCACCGGGGCATACCGTCCCACCCCGTGCTAGCTCTCTTTTGCCCAAGGAGACCCCCGTCCACCTGGGGCAGGGGTGGGCCATTAATTGTCCCGGAGAAGCTGGGATTGTTGTGGACAGAGCGGAATCAACAGGGCTGTGAGGTTGCGCCCGGACATATATGTACCTTGCCCCCCCCCAAAAAAAGGGAAAAAAAAGATACAGGTAGTCCACAAACGAGCCCGAAACCTCCGTGGCTAAGTGAGAGGGTCATTAAATGAGTCTTGCCCCATTTAAGGACCCCGTTTCTGGTCACAGTTGTGAAGTTAGTGACGCGGTTGTGAAGGGAATCCAGCTTACTCACACATACACACACACACACACACTGTGGGCTTTGCTTGTCCGAAGGTCGCCAAAGGGGAATCGCGTGACCCCTCCTGGGACGCTGAGACCGTCGTAAATACGAGTCGGTTGCCCGGTGTCTGAATTTTGATCATGTGACCACACGGGGATGCTGCAGTGATGAAAAAAAGGTCACACGTCCCTTTTTTCCATTGTGACTTTGGTCGCTAAGTGAGCTGTCGTTAGTCGAGGACGTAGAGAAATTGTGGGGGGGGGAAATCATTGTTTTCTAAGATAAAAGCAATCTATGCAGGCCGGACAGGGAGAGCCAAAGGGCCAGATGTGGCCCGTGGTCTGTAAAAACGCCCAGGTCTGACCTGGGACATCTGTTGGTCTCGATTTTCACATCAGAAAGTCACCTGCTTTAAAAACACAAAAAAGACCCTCCTCAAAAAACAAGTTAAGCTTCAAATCCATTATTGCCATCCTCTGGACATTTTAACCAGATAACCCTGCTTTAGTCTGAGGATAGGATAGGATAGGATAGAAATAAAAATAGAAATAAAATAGGAATAGAATAACAGAACAGAACAGAATAGAGAATGAATAGAATAAGGAATAGAATAGAATAGAACAGAATAGAACAGAATACAGAATGAATAGAATAAGGAATAGAATAGAGAATGAATAGAATACGGAATAGAATAGAGAATGAATAGAATAAGGAATAGAATAGAATAGAATAGAATAGAATAGAATAGAATAGAATAGAATAGAATAGAATAGAACAGAATAGAGAATGAATAGAATAGAATAGAATAGAATAGAATAACAACATAGAATAAGAAATAGAATAGAATAAGGAATAGAATAGAATAGAACAGAATAGAGAATGAATAGAATAGAATAGAATAAGGAATAGAATAGAACAGAATAAGGAATAGAATAGAATAGAACAGAATAGAGAATGAATAGAATAAGGAATAGAATAGAATAGAATAGAATGGAATAGAATAACAACATAGAATAGAATAGAATAAGGAATAGAACAGAACAGAACAGAATAGAGAATGAATAGAATAGAATAGAATAGAATAGAATAGAATAGAATAGAATAGAATAGAATAGAATAGAGCTGAAAGGGACCTTGGAGGTCTTCTAGTCCAGCCCCCTGCTCAAGCAGGAAACCCTATACCATCTCAGACAAATGGCTGTCCAGTCTCTTCTTAAAAACCTCCAGTGATGGAGCACCCACGATTTCTGGTGGCAAGCGCTCGGGGGAAGGATCGGAGGCCCAGCAATGTAGGGCGGCCCCTTCCCTAGAGGAAACCAGGGTTTGTTTTGGTCTCGAGACGAAAAGCACACCCCCCCCCCCTGAAGCCGGTGTTCACAGCAGTCTCTGCTGCTGGCCAGTTCTGAAGACCAGCTGAGCCCAGGACCCAGAAGGAGGAGATAATAGGCTTGACGTTGGCATCCCTCTGCCATTCGCTTGAAGGTTTGTTAAGGCAGGTGAAGTTAGGTGGACTTCAGCTCCCAGACTTCCCCAGGAACCGCCACACACCTTAGGGAATTCTGGGAGTTGAAGTCCATCCTCTTGAACGTTGCTGAGGATGGAAAATGATAAAAGACCCCCGGGGCTAATAAAACAAAAGAACCCAGTATCAGGCCGCAGACACTCTTACAGGTCAGGCACATTCACACATGGCTTGCCAGGCTATTACTATCTTTATTTTTTAAAAGGGGGGGTCCTCCTTAATTTTCAAGTCCCCCTCCTGTGGATCTTGGACTCTAGGGCTGAAGCTAGCCAGAAACTCTCGGCGTCTTTGGGGCTGTCCATCCTTCAGCCTCGGGACCTCCGGCCATCTCTCTCGGGGGGGGGGCTTGCCAGAGAGGGGAGAACATGCCGTAGAGCCCCCATGTCAGACCTTCCTGCGCCCCCTTCCCACTTCCCACCCCCAGCAGCATCTCACGATCCCTGCGTTGGGCGGAAAGCTGCTCTCCCAGACTCCCCTTTTGAGGGGGGGGAGAGGCTGAAGGAAACCGGCAGTCCGGTCATCCCCCCCCCCAAAAAAAAATGCAGGGAAGTGTATAGCCTCCACATTACCCTGGAGCCTCGCAGCAGGTGACCCACCCACCCCCAGCGAAGAAGGGGAGAGCCGGGCCGGCCAGCTGGAAACGCGCCGCCAATATTTTACGTCTCTTGGCAGGATTTCCCTAGAGATAATGACGTTACAGCCCAGGTGTGAGGACGTAGAGACGGCGGAGGGGGTAGCTTTAACTGTCACAGGTGTGGCCCAGGTACGGTACCTCCAACGCCTCTTTCCAGGAATGCATGTGTCTGCTCTGTCCCTGCCTCCGGCCGGCCGGGAGACCGGCGCTCGCCCAGACGGAGGGGGCCTCTCTCTCTCGCGCGCGCCAAAGCTGGGGATGGGGGCTTCTTCACTCCCACCCACCCACCCCCCGCCACCGGCCCACACTCCGCACAGCGGCCACCTTTCGGGTGGGAAGGCCGGCTGCTGCTGCTGCTTCTTCTGACGTGGTCGCTAAACGGGTGCTTCCCTCCTCCGCGCGCCGCGGAGGGCCTGCCGGGGAATCGACGTCACCGGATTTCGAGACGGGTCCCACCGGTGTCTGTCTGGAGGTTCTCCTCTGCTCCGGTTTTCCGTTTGGTGTCAGCTGTTTGTCAGCTGTTTGTCAGCTGTTTGTCAGCTGTTTGTCAGCAATGCTGCTGGGGGTGGTATCTATTTTGTCCCGGTAGGAGAGCATCTTTGTGGCTCAGGGTGGAAATGGGGGGGGGTCCTTGGTGCTCCCTGAGCTTGGCTGGTTTCTTGAAGACGTTTCATGACCCAGCTAGGGAACATAATCAATGCTAGAAGGGAGTGTTTTCATTTTATAGAGAGGAATACACAAACAGCCTTCTAGCACTGATGATGTTCCCTGGTTGGGTCATGAAACGTCTGCAAGAAAACAGCCCAGCTCAGAGAGCACCAAGGACCCCACAGTGCTCCTCCTGCCCCCTCCCGTTCCTCTCCTTCTCTTCCTCTCCCCTTTCTCCTCTTACACTCCACAAACCCCCTTCCCTTCTAGCACTGATGATGTTCCCTGGTTGGGTCATGAAACATCTGCAAGGAGAACCACCAAGTTCAGAGTACCAAGGACCCCGCAATTCTCCTCCTCCTCTCTGCATTCCCCCCACTTCTAGCACTGATGATGTTCCCTAGTTGGGTCATGAAATATCTGCAAGGAAACAGCCCAGCTCAGAGAGCACCAGGGACCCCACAATTCTCCTCCTCCTCCTCCTCCTCCTCCTCCTCCTCCTCCTCCTCCTCTTACTGTCACTGATGATGTTAACTAGTTGGGTCATGAAACATCTGCAAGGAGACCAGCCAGCCCAGAAGGCACCGCAGACTTCAACCCTGAGCTACAAATATTCTCTCCAAACCACTTGGCAAACCTCACTCCCTTCCAGCACTGATGACATTACCTAGTTGGGTGATGAAAAGTCTGCAGCGAAGCTCAGAGGGCACCACGGACCCCAGTTATTTCCAGGTTGTCCTCAACCTTACAACCACAGAATTCGCTAAGCACGTTGTTTAGGGAGCCACGGCTGATTTTGCCACCTTTTTCAGCCACGGTTGTTAAGGCCATCCGTGTGGTTGTGAAGGGCGTTGTGCAGCCACTAAGCATTTGTCCAGAATGATCTAGCTGGCTGGGGAATTCTGGGAGTTGAGGTCCACAATGCCTAAAAGCGGCCCAAGGTCGGAGACCTCTGATGTATAAGGTCTCCTGCCATCCGCAGGGGGCTAGACTAGAAGACCTCCCGGGTCCCTTCCAGCCCTACAATTCCGTGTTCTAAATCCGGCTTTGGATTTGGCTTGTTGGGAAGCCACACATTTCAGCCACCACCTCCCCAACAGGCTGCAAATCCTTTTAAGTGTTCGCCAAATGCCCCAATTTGGATCACGTGACCCTGGGGGACTGCTGCAACCGTCGTATGTCGCTTTCCCCCACTCCCCAGTGCCAACGGTCACTAAACAAATGGTCGTAAGTTGAGGGCTGCCTGCTTTTAGGACATTTTTTTAAAAAACAAGCCAGATGAAAATAAAAGTAAGCAAGCTAAGTGGGGGAGGGGAACCCTGTAAAAATAAAAAGGGGCTTCGGAATTTAGGTATTCGTTTGCTTTCCGTGGCTTCCCATCTCAGTCAATGGCTCTCAAGATTGAACCAAAGTTGAGTAGAATCCATGGGCTGGGAGGGACCTCAAGAGGTTGTCTAGCCCAACCCCCTTCCCGTTGACCTGCCCCACCCTCTTTCCCTCCCCCAGACCCATTTACTGACCCTTCTTCCTTGCACAGTTTGAACAGAGCCTGCCTGCTGGATTCCTTCCCTTGCCTGGATCCCAAAATACACTTAGCATTGCAAGGGAGCCCCAAACTCCTGTTACTAAGCGAAACAGACGTTAAGCCAGTTTTGCTCCGTTTTACGACCTTTCTCGCCACTGTTGCTAAGCGAATCACCGCCATTCTTATCGTTGTTAAGTGAATCTGGCACACACACCCCGTTGACTTCGCTTGCCAGGAGGTCGCAAAAGGAGGTTCACGGCCCCGGGATGCTGTGACCGTCACAAATGTGAGTCAGGGGCCAAGGGTCTGAGTTTCAATCACGTGATCCGGGCCGTTCTGCAGTGCTCGTAAGTGTGAAAAACAGTTCTAGGTCCCTTTTTTCCAGTGCCGAACGGTCACTAAACCAACTGTTGTAAGTCAAGGACAATCTCTTTCTACCTTTTGGCTGTGTTTGCACCCACAGCAAGATAATCTTGGGGTGCTGAAAGTGGGGGCTGGGGTGGACAGTGGGGGCTACGGAGGAAGAGAGGTATAAAAATATGTTGGCCATAGAATTTGGTACTGATTCCTGCCTAGTCCAGTTCAGCGTTTCTCAATCTTGCCCACTTGGAGACGGGTGGACTTCAACGCCCAGAATCCCCCAGCTCACAGGAAATCGGGAAGCCAGCCAGCTGGAGCATTGTGGGAGTTGAATTCCCCCCGTCTCCAAGCGCCCAAAGAAACACAGATTTAACATCTGTATCAGGCCACGAGTCGGGGGGGGGGGGCGGTGTAGAACGACCCCTCAATTCAAATAGCTGTGCTGGCTGGGGAATTCTGGGAGTTGAAGTCCGCCTACCTTGAAAGTTAATCTTCAGGTCGAAAAATACTTGTCTAATTAACTGGAAGCGCCATCTGTCGTGCCTGGGTGGGGGCCCAGGGACCCTTTTTAAGGTGGAGACCCCGTGAACCTAGCAGAATACAAGACTTAAGGAGGTTTAACCTGAGTCCACCATTTTCGTGTCTACTCTGGAGGTCAGCTGTTTCTCCTTGGGTTGTTCTCCTGATCCAGGGGTAGTCAACCTTGGCTCTTTTATGACTCGTGGACTTCAACTCCCAGAATTCCTGAGCCAGCTAAGCTGGCTCAGGAATTCTGGGAATTGAAGTCCACGAGTCATAAAAGAGCCAAGGTTGACTACCCCTGTCCTGATCTGTCCCCCGTACTGCAGGCTCTTCAAAGCGGGGAGGGGGTTGGTTCTGGGGGTTCTCTCTGGTGTGGCCCGTCGTTTAGGGACCCAGCCCAACCGAGCCAGGGCGATGCTAGAAGCCAAGCGAGTGGCCGGCTCTCCTTGGTCTTCTGCGGACTCTCCCGCCATGCTGCCTCCCTTTGCCCTGCAGGTGAAGATCATGACCGAGAAGGAACTCCTGGCGGTCGCTTGCGAGCAGTTTTTGGGGAAGAACGTCCAGGACATCAAGAACGTCGTCCTGCAGACCCTGGAGGGACACCTTCGCTCCATCCTGGGTGCGTATCGGCCGGAGGGAAGGCGGCCTACGAGGGTCACAAAGAAAGGAAGTAGCTTGCAGGGCGTCCTAACCGGACCACAAGCTGTCCCCTGGCTTTGAGGCTGGTCTACCTGGTCAGGCCAGGCCACTTAGGATGGTACAGTTGCCCCAAAGATGTTTTTTCCAAAAGGCGATTGGAATTTGGGGTTTTTTCCCTCGGAAAACATTTTGCTTCTCATCCGAGAAGAACAGATCGTACCTTGCTCAATAGTAGTAACTGTGAGAGGGATCTCGGAGTCCTAGTGGACCATCCCTTCGATATGAGCCAGCCGTGCGCTGCAGCTGCCAAAAAAGCCAACACAGTGCTGGGCTGCATTAACAGAGGGAGAGAATCTTCAAACTTGGCCACTTTTAAGACTTGTGGACTTCAACTCCCAGAATTTCTCAGCCAGCCCTGAGGAATTCTGGGAGTTGAAGTCCACAAGTCTTAAAGTGGCCAAGTCTGAAGGCCCCTGCCCTTGAGTGTTGCTCCCCTCCATCCTGCTTGGCTGTTGGTGTGTGTGTGTATGTGTATGTGTTTTTCCTCCACCCATTCTCTCTGCCTTGCAGGCACTCTGACCGTCGAGCAGATTTATCAGGACCGAGACCAATTTGCCAAGCTGGTGCGGGAGGTGGCGGCGCCAGACGTGGGCAGGATGGGCATCGAAATCCTCAGCTTCACGATCAAGGTGCGAGGGGCTGGGGCCAGGGTCCGCCTTCGGGCAGGCGCTCTGGCAGAAACCAGTGAGGAGGGGGATTCCTGGAAGGGAGGGAGGGGGTGCCTCCCAGGTAGCCTCTGTGAGAGAAAGAGGGTAGAGACAGCTCCCGCCTAATAGCTCCCAGAGGGTGTCGTAGAGGGAGAGTCGAGTCTTCACGCTGGCAAGAGTCTGTCGAGAGGTGTGAAAAGGCTAAAGAATCACCTGCCATTGTTGGCTTGGGGCCTGACATAGGGTGACTGAGGGGTTCTGGGAGTTGAAGTCCACACACGGCCGGGGGATTCTGGGAGTTGAAGTCCACACATGGCTGGAGGATTCTGGGAGTTGAAGTCCACACAGGGTGGCTGGGGGAATTCTGGGAGTTGAAATCACACACAGTGGCTGAGGGATTCTGGGAGTTGAAGTCCACACACAGTGGCTAGGGGAATTCTGCGAGTTGAATCCACAAACGGTGGCTGGGGGATTCTGGGAGTTGAACTCCACACACAGTGGCTGACGAAATTCTGGGAGGTGAAGTCCACACACGGTGGCTGGGGGATTCTGGGAGTTGAAGTCCACAAACAGTGGCTGGGGGATTCTGGGA